GGGTGGCTCCAGTTCGCTATGAACAAGCAGTCGTTATAACCCTTTTTGAAGAAGAAGAAGAAGCTACGATACTGTCGGTCTGAACAGCGCTACTGCTCCAGGCCGGCAGGCCCCCGGCAGACACGCAAAAGAGCCCCACTCGCCGCCTAAATAGATTGGACTAATGCTTGCGCGTTTCTGCTGCGTTTACTAGCGAACTTTGAACTTTACGCTCTAACTGTTGAACTTACAACTTTACGAGAGTACAAGCTGACGATAACTGCGTATCATCTGCTAAGAGAGTTTTTACGCGATGGCCTGACTGTTTGGTCTTCTTTATTTCCAGCCGTTTTGCTGTGTGGAATTTTTACTGGAGGATGGCGACATGGCGACCGTTCCAGTCCTATGGGTGAAGAACAGGAGGTACATTAAGAAGAGCGAAGGAGTCAAGGCTGTGCGGGGGAAGTGCTACTGGCCTCCTAGTACTGTCAAGGGTAAAAAGCTGAGAGACCTCGTTACTGGGCAAAAGAAGCCGGATACATCATCATGGACGACACACGATTGTGAGGTGTTGCAGTATGCTTGTAAGTTTAGGTTTCCTCGCAGGTTTCACAACAGTCTTTTAAAGTTGGCATGAGATAGTCATTGATCACACGTTCTTGTTTCAGTCACCGTAAAGGAGTGTGACGATTGGCTAAAGAATCATTCGGGAGTCGAAAATGAAGGAATGGAAAGTGACGCTTCGAGCGACCACCCCTATGCAAGGGACAAAGAGAAGAAATTAAGGTTAAAGAGAAGGAATGGACCAGCCAGTAGCTCGGAATCATCAGACGACGAGCTGTTTGTGGCCGGGTTGGGCGACCTGCGGTCCAACCAGAAAGATTCGCTGAGTCCTAATGCGGTTGCTGCTGTTGTGGATGTTGTGGGTGATTTGGGTTCGTCGGGTTTTTAGGGTTTTGTGCGTTTTGTGTTTGTTTCTTTGGCGTTTGGCGATGACACCCACGTAGTACTACTCTCTGAAATGGTGCCTGTTAGTCCGTTGAAAAGAAGCAACGGACAAAGTCCACGTAAGTCGCCTGAGAAGCGTAATGTGCAGAAGGCGACTGAAAAGCGGGGTGTCTACGCCAGAGAAAGGGGCAGCCAGGGCTACACCAGAGAAAGGGACAGCCAGGGCTACACCAGGGAAGGCCAGGGCTACACCAGAGAAGGCGACAGCCAGGGCGACCCCAATCAAGCGCCAAGTGCTACAGACTGGAGCCCGTTTACCACCAGCGTCGGAAACTTCCAGTCCGCTGAAAGCGCAGAAAGGTGTCGGTGCATGTAACTCACCTGGGAAGCGTACCGTGCCACAGAAGACGACTGAGTGTCGAGGTGTCACAACACCCGAGAAGATGCCATCCAGGGTATCCAAGGGGTCTCCAAGCAAGCGTGACGCGGTGCAGACTGGTGAGAGAAGGACCCCATCTAAATTGTCTGGGAAAGAGAGAGGAACACCGAAGAAGTCTCAGAAGAGTGCTCCAACTCCCCAAAAAAGTACAAAATCAGTGACTCCACAAAAGAGACAGGCGTCACCTACTTACCAAATGGAGTCTGACAGCAGTTCGTTTAGCTGCAGTCAGAGTAAGAGACCGAAGCAGAGTCAGATCACCAAATTTGTGACGAGCTTCTCTGAGAAAGAGATTGATCAGCATTGTGACGAGGTGGACAGAGAGATTCTTGCGATGGAACTCAGCGATACGCCGGCTAGGAGTGCTTCTCCGGCCACGTCAGATACCAGTTTCGATACGCCGTTTAAGTTGCCTCTCAGGCGGAGTGCATTAAGCTCGACATCAAGTCCATTTCTGCCCATGAGTCCATCATTCCATGCAGGTATGTTTAAGGGTGATGGTGTGTAGCATTATCTGGCAGTCCCTTTCTCTGGCGATGAGACACCCCGCTTTATCAAAATTAAGCGCGTACTCGCCGTATGAGATTTTTGTTTTGTATTTCTCACGCCGCGTTTCTCTTTTGTTCCAGCTCTGAAGTCGATTGATGGCCAGATTAAAGAAATAGCCAGGCAGCTTCAAGCTCTGGACAAAATGGGCACCAATATCGGGAAGATAATGACATGTGTGCTGCCTCCGCTGGAGACGAATATAGCGGAGGACATCCCTGAGCTGCCTTTATCTGATAAGAATGGCGAAAAGGCAATGAACGAACTGCTTTTGAGAGACAAGGGCGAATTTAACAAAGTTGTAAGTATTCCTTAGTCTGGATAGTGCCATTGTACAGAGTGTTTGTGTGTGATTGGCCCTCTCATGAACTACGTATTATGTTCCCAGGTTACGTTCCTATACGGACTGGGGGGTACAAATGCAAAAGATGCGGTGTACTCTGTGCTAAAGACACTTTTCACTGATCAGTTTGCCTCTTCGAAGAGCATGAAGGGAATACGCAGGGCTGGCAAGCCCGCAAAGGACGCCTTTATGGGGACGCCCCTCTTCAAAGCTCTCATGTGTAAGTGTTATTTACTTTCATGTAGGGAACTGGCTGTTAGGCACTTGCAGGTATGCTACCTGCAGTTGCACACCTACCAGGTGTAACTGTGAATGCGCAACAGTGTTGCGGGTTTGCCTACCCAATTCGCACGTAAGGCGCCATGGCCCCTGCAGCCCTGGTAGGGTATGCAATCCCGCAACACTGCTGCGCATTCACAGTTACACCCGGTACGAGTGTTGAGCAGTTGAACACTTAGTTCATTAGTACGCTTTCATTTGCTTTGAGGCGGTATCAAGTTTCAGTTTTAATTTATCTATAACGCTTAAAGAAAACCTTGGCTCGTCGTTGTTTTACATTCATTTCCCATGTCATATGTTGCAGGTGCTGTCCGGCGAAGATTTAAGGAGACCACAGTAACCGATGTCATGGAACTCACTGGCAATTGGCTTAAGGATGCACCAGGAAGGGAGAAGAAGAGGAGGAGCAGATGTGAAAGCAGGGAATCCCTCTTGCGGCAGTACGACGAATCATCGGATTAATGCGGACACAAAGGTACGACAATAACCTGTAAACTGTAGCCCAAATTTAGGTGTAGATGTAGCTCATTATGCCTGATGTGGTGTACAATAACTGTTACTTTCTGAGTTGCCGCAAAAGTCTCACTGAACCCCAAGTCTCACGCGCCCACAGTTAGTTACTCCCCGCCCGCGCTGACCTCTCCCCTCTTTCCTTATCTCAACTCCCTCTCCTGACAAGCTCGCTCCCCCTCTCTCAGGTGCAATGCTTTCGCCTCGCTCCGAGGTGCGGGCCAATGACTCCCCCCAATCCCTCCCCTCTCTCCTACTTGCCACCTAGTGAGCCGGCCCCCCTAGACCTCCATTCCATCCATCACCAGGGAGGTAGGCCTTCTCTTTTCCTCCCGCGCACGATGGGTGGCCTACTTCTCGGGCGTCTCCCCCACCCGTGTCGAACTGCTGACACGGGTGGGGGAGACGCCGAAGAGGTAGGCCACCCATCGTGTGCGGGAGGAAAAGGGGTGGCCTGCCTCCCTGGTGATGGATGGAATGGAGGTCTAGGGGGGCGGCACAGTAGGAAGCAAGTAGGAGAGAGGGGAGGGATTGGGGGGAGTCATTGGCCCGCACCTCGGGGCGAGGCGAAAGCATTGCACCTGAGAGAGGGGGAGCGAGGTTGTCAGGAGAGGGAGTTGAGATAAGGAAAGAGAGAGAGCCCAAGTGATAAGAGAAAATCGCAAATGGAAACATTTGACATCACGGATGTATCAGCAGTCAGCTGCCAGCCGGGAAGCAGGACTCAAGCCCCCATGCCCCCCCCCCTTCCTACCCCGTATCGAGGTCTTACGACATATCAGGGCGGGGCTCTATTCAAGCGTGCATTATATGCCTAGCTTACTAGTGATTGTCTCTTTCTTTACAGGATGGCTGTCATCATTGATGGGGTGCTCTCCATTATTCTGTTCTGAGTATCCTCAATAAAACCAAACCGTAAATTTTTCCCCCTTATTTGTACGTCCTATCAGCCTTCATACTGGAAACATCACCATCACTATTATTTCTCATTGAAGTTTTTAAAAGTTCTGTACATTTACTGTATGTTTGTACTGTTGAAAAGCCCCAATTTGAAAGTAATATGTAAAAGGGATAAAAAGACTCACATCAACAAACCAAGTATTTCTCATTGAAGCTGTAAAAAGTTCTGTACATATTTCTGGCATAGTACACGAGTGTTGGTAGTTTGACTACCTATGCTGTGGTCTTCCATTTAGCAGTGCAAAATATAACATCTTATAAGGGTGGTAAATGAC